TCTTGAAGTTTTTGTGGATGTGGTTGGTGTCACTAGTTCATGTGTAATAGCTGACTCAGTGTGTCCTGAATTTATTTCAGCAGATTCTGACTGTTTCTTAACATATGCAGTATTTGTGCTGTCCAGATGTGTTTTCTCATCTGCCGCTTGTATCTCAGTTACATATGTATACTCTGTTTCCTGATGTTCTGTTCTCATTTCTTTTTCATGTTCGTTTACTTTAGCATTCTGTTCAATTCCTTTGAAATGTGTTGGTGTCACTTCTTTATTTGTACCTTCTGTGCTAAGATGTGAATTTGAATCTGACTGTTTTTCATCAGAGCTGGTAATGATTTCCTCCAATGATGTTATTTCTTCTTGTAGTGGTATCTCAATTTCTGTTGTACATTCTGTTTCAGGAGCCCCTGTTGTCATTTCAGCGTCCTTTTGTGTTTCCATGACATTATGTGTATTTTCTTTGGAGGTAGTTTGTGTAACTTCTTTATTTGTGCTGGGTATTTCTGACATTAAAATATTAGGTTGACTTGTAACCAACACTGTCCAATGCCCAGTGGATTCCTTCTCCTGTTGTTTACTAGATGCGGTGTTTCCTTTATCTGATGCTGTTCTAATTCCAGGGAAGTCTGTTTGTTTGTTTTCACCATCAATTGTGGTTTCATGAACTTTTCTCGCTGTTGGCCTAATTCTGTTGCTCCCTAAAGATGGTTTCTTCTCACTTCCATCGTTTTCTGCTGACGGTCGCTCCAGTTCTGTTAAACAGTCTGTTTCAGTCAGCACTGTTGTAATTCCCATCTGTTGTTTTGTAAGTGTGACAGTGTTTACATATTTTCTGGAGGCGGATGGATTTTCTGATTCACTTGTTTCCTTTTCGATATTTTCTGTATTGCTTTGTTTAACAAAACTCTCTGTAATGCTTGATTCTTGTGTTTCATCATTAGCATTATGTGGTTTTGTAGCAGTTTGACTGAATGGCAAGGTTGCCTGGTCTTTACTTTCTTTTGATGCATCATCTGTTTTGACCATTATTGGACTTTGTTTCCATATGCTTCTTCTTTGCCTAAAGAATTTTGAGGGAACAAGTTTTCTGTGTGTTGAGGCAGTTGCAGTGATGTTGTTTTGAAATGAGATGTTGGTTAGGATCTCATGAGTCACAAAATTGTTGCCATCTGATTTATTCTCTAACGAAGACATACTGTCCTTTGCTTTCATTCGGAAAATGTCTTCATTTCCGACAAGTTCCATTCCTAATAACCTCAATATTTTTTCCATATGGATGACAGCGTCATTACTGGAATTGGATGCAACTTTCATTGCACTTTCCTCCAACTCGCTCATTTTGATTTCTGCTGCTTGGTGCGGTTGTGGATATCTTGCAGGCTGGCGTATGGGACAGATGGTTGAACCCTTTTGATTAAAAAATATTCTCAACCGTGTGGCAGATGGGAAAGCATTCCTTAGCATCTTAGCTAAATCTGACACCTGTTCCCATAAACTTCTTTTTTCATAAGCGTCCCCTGGAAATCCATCTGTAGTTTGGCCAGAATGATAGTCAGTAGTCCAATTAGAGGGTTTTTCCTTTGGATACTTTTTCAGTTTTGTGACGGTTTTTCTTTTAATATGGAAGACGCCAATCATAAGGCATGTTTTTGAAGTGATGCCTTGGTTAGATGAATGTAGCAAGCTTCTAATAATCTGTGAGGAAATTGAACATATAGTAAGCACTAAGGTCTTTATTGCAATTGTAATATAACAGTTATAAATAATGTGCTTGCACAGATCAATCCTTCAGCTTTAGAGCCATCAAAGTTTGTCAGAAGCAACTAATATGAATTTTGTTTTGCCTGCATTTGTTCTTTATTATTATTATTATTATTATTATTATTATTATCTCAAAGTGTTGGTAACTGATGGTTTTTATTATTCACCAAGCACAGTTTCAGCTATATATATATATATAGTGGCCTATGTTTGGATGGCTGTAGGGTGAATAATTTATCTGTAAATTTGCATTCAAGAGTTCACACTTAGCCGTTGATTGATAATAAAGCTTGTTTGGCATGCTGTTCCAGTAGAGAACCCTGAGCTTATGAGATCCTCGAGCCCTTGGCTTCCTCCCGTTTGCAGGGCGAAAAAAAGAAGTTTGAGCTTAGGTAGATCTCAATGAACCCCCTCGGCTTAGTTTATAAATGAACTTCACTTATTATAATCTTCAGTTTTTCTCAATTAGATTTTCAGTACATTTATAATGTTATGCTATAGCATATATATAAAATTTGATTTTGAAATATGCACATGCTAAGATAAACAGAGGCTGCATGAAGCTGTATTGTCTTATTCTTCATAAAAGTACAAATTTGTACGGTCTTATGGTCCGTATACCAATAATTATATTAATACTAATAGAAAAAAATGTTAAATATTAAAGTCACACTTTATTTTAAAGTATATCTCTTGCTATTAACAATTTATGAACTATTAACTATGAATTTAGCTTTAATAAACCATCAAATGTGCCCCTTTAATAATAGTGAGTAAGGTAGTAGTTAGGTTTAGGTTTAGGGTAGAGGTAGGAATGTAGAATAAAATCATGCAAAACAAACATCCCGCCATTTTTAAGAATAGGCAAAAATATTAAGCCACTAGTGAGAATTGATCTTTAAACTTAAGTTTTGCTTATATTTTACCCCATACTTTGTTTGCACAAAAGAGAAAAAGCTAGATTAATAGAATTAATAGACATTTAAGGTTAATTATTAAAATCATAAAAGCTTACCTTTGGCGAAAAAACTGCAGTCTTTATATTTTCTTTATGATGCCTTCTGTTAATCCAAATGCATGGCATATTACTGATCCTGCGCACTTCTGCGATGTAGACGCACTTTACTATAAAGCATCTGCACATGTGGCCATAGTTTTTAAGTGTAGACTGAATTCGAGCCCAGTTCTGGCAGAGTGTGTTATGAAATGGAGTCCTATTACAGTCAGGAGGCATAGAAACTACAGTAAAGAGAGACAAAATAAACCAGCATAACTTCATCACTCCATCGGCTCCAGCAACATTTCCTTTACTACTTTAGGCCATTTGACAAGACGGTCACACCATGTCCTTATCTTTGATTCATTTGTGTTTCTGAGTTTTACTATATACATAAGATAAGACATATCTACGTTGGGCTGGACTATCATCTTACAGTTCCAGTTTATTACAATGTGCCTTTTTATTGTAAGAGCAAAAGCCTAGCACAATTAACAGTAATGTAATGCTGTGAAATTATTATTAGCTAATTTTTTTCTGATTATTTATTAGCATTTAGGATTTACACAGCTATGCTTCCATCCAAAGTTGCTAATTTACTTTATGTGCAAGATTAAAATATTGGATAAAACATTTGTGACTAAAATAAAAAGGAGTTACTTCCACTATGATATTAAGATGATAAGATATAACTTGAATGCCAGCGGGGAACTCACATTCTTGGATTTGGAGGCGGTTGCCTGATAATTGGGAAAACAATCATAAAAGTAATTTTGTGGATTTATTTTTATTAAGTTATTTATAGAATTAATACAACAAACATTTGAAATGGTTAAGGCACAATTACATTACTTTTGCGATGTACTTCTTAAATGCAATATTGTAATATGTACAAAAAAAGTGCATGTAAATTATTGAAAACAAATAATTAAAACAAATTGTACGTGTTTTTAAATATTTGATGCACTGAAAACATTGTCAAAACAAGTGGTGTTTACCAAAAATTAAACATTAAGTAGACTTATGTTTGTGCCGTTGTGTCTAAGGTTTATAGATTTATAATCACCTAAGAAGATATTGGAGGTCGCAAATCACTGGCATTGTTATTTTGGGGGTCGTGGGCTGAAAAGTTTGGGAACCCCTGTTTTAGAGCACAACAGTGCTTTGGGGGCCTAAAAACCTGTTGAACCGGTAGGCGGTAAAAGTGATATCACCAACTACTGGCCTGGCATGCATAATACAGCTTTTGATCATATTCACAAGGAAGAAAGCTGATTTAAGCGACTTTGAACTTGACATGGTTGTTAGTGCCAGACTGGCTGGTCTGAGTATTTCAGAAACTGCTGATCTACTGGGGTTTTCATGCACAAACATCTCTAGGGTTTCCAAAAAAGAGAATATATCCAGTAAGCAGCAGTTCTGTGGGCACAAATGCCTTGTTGATGGCGGAGGTCAGAGGAGAAAAATCAGACTGGTTCGAGCTGATAGAAAGGTAACAGTAACTCAAATAACCACTCGTTACAAGGCTACAATTTGCACAGGCTCACCAAAATTGGACAATAGAAGATTGAAAAAACGTTGTCTGGTCTGATGAGTCTTGATTTCTGCTGCAACATTCGCATTGTAGGGTCAGAATTTGCCATCAACAACATGAAAGCATGGATCCATCCTGCCTTGTATCAACGGGTCAGGCTGCTGGTGGTCGTGTAATGGTGTGGGGGATATTTTTGCCACAGTTTGGGCCTATTAATACCAATTGAACATTGTGTCAACACCACAGCCCTTTATGACCACAGTGTACTCACCTTCTGATGGCTGCTTCCAGCCGGATAATGCGCCATGTCATAAAGTGAATCATCTCAGACTGGTTTCTTGAACATGACAATGGGTTCACTGTTCTTAAATGGCCTACACAGTCACTAGATCTCAATCCAATAGAGCACCTTTGGGATGTAATGGAACGGGAGATTCACATCATGGATGTGCAGCCGACAAATCTGCAGCAACTGCTTGACGCTATCTTGTCAATATGAATGAGCAAAACCTCTGAGGAATATTTCCAGTACCTTGTTTAACCTATGCCACATATTAGTATGGCAGTTCTGAAGGCAAAAGGGGGTTCAACCCAGTACTAGTAAGGTGTACCTAATAAAATGCCCGGAGAGTGTAGATGATAATCCAGGAACTTGACCTTCTTTGTAAAATCTGGTTAGGAGAACAGTCAATTACATTTCCTCACATTTTATTTGTTCCCCATTGCATTTCCAATCGTTATGTGTATTTCCCCATGCAATGATAATTCTGAAACTTACAAAGGTTTGATTTGAAAGTGATTTATTTGTCATTTTAAGTCACAGACACAAAAAGTCATCTACATACAGTAGTTTACTTATTGTCTTTAAATTGACTTAATGACAATGTGATAAACATTGATTTATAACAATTACAATATGTCAACAAACAAGGAAAATATGAATCAAGAACATGATTTTTGATATTTCCAAATGGATTGGGGCAAAAAGGTATACACAATTGAGCCCTAACTCAGAGAAATAATGAACTTCATATAAGACAGAATCAACAGTGCACGTTTCCTATTGGTAAAATTGCCCCTGTAATTTTGGTATGATGTGTTTTTTTATCCATGATTGTTCTGTGCCGTTTCATACATGTTATTTATCTCATCCTGCAGGTCCTACACTAAGTGGTTCAGATCAATAGCCAAAATTAATGTTTTCTTCTGCAATGAATTCAACTGTGCTTTGTCTTTTTGTGTGGTGTATTTGCTGTGATTATTGACTTTGTTTTATTGAAGAGGGCTTCGCGTCCAATACTCTGACCTGTCATTATGTGGTTTTCCGCTGACTGAGGAATGCAAGAGCGATGAAGAGGTGGTATATTCTTCTTTTTCTAACATCACCCTCTCAAGGCATCTCTTCAGACCAGAGCTGGTACGGTGAATGAGCACAGAGCAAATGCCTGCTATCCTGTCTGATGTTGAGGGGGGTTTGCTGGTCGTAGTGTTCTGTTCTGCTTTTTTGACTTGCATTTTTTTTACACACGGCATCACAGCATCTAAATACTCCCAGATCTCGAAGCCATCAGGAATTTCATCTAAGCCTTTGAAGTCGAAATGTCCCACGTTTCTATGATCGAAGAGGTTTTGCATGGGTTTGGCCATGAAGACTCCAGAAAGGATCGCGATCAGTTGCTTTAACTTCATCCATTTCCACCTACATCTGTCCTGACTGTTTTGGACCAGCGCCCCTTCAAAATTAAAGCCTTTATTATCTGTGTGGTGGTACGTGATCCAGCGAATGTATCCTGCGCTTTGCCAGTTGCCCAGTTTATCCATGTGTTTCTCATTGAGTTGATACACACCACTTAATACATGTGTGGTTGATGAGGACGGTTTTGATGTGACTCGAAGCGGGAGTGCGTGCATCTTTCCTCTCAGCAGATCTCCAATTACCTGTCAGGAGCCAAAAAAAGAACAAAAACAAAACAAAACACAATGACAGATATAATTAGGGCAAAGAAAAAATGAAGAAATCTAATTTTAAGCTCTGCGTTTTACAAGATCGCATTTAGTTCTAGACTGTAATAGTTAAGAAATTAATAATTCATTTATTATTAAATATTCAAAAAGCAAGCACATCATTTCTTTGTGGTCACTTGATACTGCTTTGAATTACACTTTAAATATGTAAATTGGATTTTTTTCATCTTGCCTTTATGCTTTTATCTGTCAAATGATATCTGACAGAAATGTAAATCTAAAAAGTGCTTAAAAGAGTATTTGAGCAAAATGTTGGCTACATGGAATACAAATGGAGTTATTAAAAGTGTTCATTAATATATGTGTGTGTGTATATATATATATATATATATATATATATATATATATATATATATATATATATATATATATATATAACAGCAGATTGTAGTTAGAGATAACATTATGCTTACTTTTATTATGTAAGAGACATGTTAACAGAATAAAAAGCAAGACCTTACCGTTGGTGATATAAACCATGTCGCGATATTCTTCAGAAGATCCTGCTCTGATAAATCGGAGACCCCCAAATGGCCTATTTGATATGCCCAGAAAACTGGCACGAACTTTAAGGTTGGAAAGCTAGCAATGGAAACACATTTTTCTTCATGACACCTGCAGCAAAAGTCCGCAGAAGCTTTTTTAAGAAGCAGCAGAACGTGGGCCCATCCTTTGTAAAAGTGCCCTTCACAATGGCTCCACTTTTCATTACGGTGGTCTGGCCGAAAAATCGCACCCCACACGTACATGCATGTTGAGGCGAAGCTGAGAAGCTGGTGTAGCCTCATCGTGGCTCTTTCTCAACAGCTGTGTGGAAGCAGCTGAGCGTATGTGAGCAGCTCTTATCTTTGCTTTCTGGCACTCATACTGTATATGACTACACATGACTGACTGCGTTCTGCCACTGACTCCTTTATACACATTAACAGTGGTGCAAATGAAGAGTTCTGAAGCAAAAACCTTTAAGTGTCATCTCAAATGTTCTTCTAAAATGAGCGTTTTTCTCAGCCTCCTATCTTTATGGTCAGTTATTTCACATTAAAGGCAATACATATAACTTACTCTGTCATAAAAGTAAATTTACTGAACCTACACATAGGAACCTGAGGAGTCTCGAGAACTCCCCTGAATTTGTTCGCTCAACCTATTCCTTGATTATTAGGGGTTGCCACGGTGGAATGAACCGCCAACCATAGCAGCAAATGGCTATGTGGTAAATCTCCACGTAAACACTTACATACTGTGCCAATTTGGTTTATTCAATTCAGCTCTACTGCATGTCTTTGTGTCTTTGCACTGTGGGAGGAAACCGGAGTACCCTGGGGAAAGATGACTAAGGTAAGAGGTGACTTTTTAAAAAAAAAAAAAAATTTATTATGTGCGTTTGGATTCATCTGATTGGTAAATCATCTGATAGTTAATGCGGGACCAGCTGTAGTCAATCATAAGCACATGATCATCTCTAAATTAAGCTGTGGTCACACTTGAGTTTGAGCTTGAGCTTGCAAAGTTCTGTAGTCTGACGCTGTGGAAAGGGGTGAGATTAAACAATATTTAGACATTTAAAAAGCGAGCGATTGCTCCATACTTTAAATTTCTGTCTAGAGAGGTCATGTTTTGATCCTCGATTGGTCACACTCAGTCAAGTGATGAAATTTCGCAGGTCAGAGTTCACCAAGCTTGAACTTTCCAACGCAGCGAACTGTGAAACTTGTCGCACGATCTTGCATTTCCGGTCTGATGCATTCACTTGCGTATGAATGTAGGTCTATAAGGAGAAAAGTCCAGTGTGACCGCAGCTCGTTTATACACGTATTTCTTTTCTGCTTTCCCATAGTGTTGTCTTGTTGAATAGAGCTTAGCACTATAAATAACAAGAAGGTCATGTTAGATTCCCATTGAATGCATTGATTGCTAAAATGTTTACAATATTGAACTGTAGGTCTTGTAGTATAAAGGTCCCAAATGTCCTGTAATACACTTACAATGGAAGCCCAGACAGTGCTGTTATCTTTTCTCTTCTTCCAGCAATGAAAGGCCTTTGTGCACATGTGACAGAATGAAGTGTTGCTTGACATTTGCATGTTATTATAAATGTGTGCAGGCGATCTGTATTCAAAGTATTTAAAACGTCTTCCAGGGATCTGACACAGTTGCTATCTGACCTGAACTGAGAACAGAAAGCGCACCTGAAACTCTGCACTCGTGGAGGTAGGAATTATGTTATTATGATAGATTTGGAGCAAACAATTGCAAGACCAAATCATTTTCTAATCTTTTTAGATTTCTTCACTACTGTGTTGATATAGTACACTGGAACAGTATTTCCCAAACCTGTTCCTGAAGGCACACCAACAGTACACATTTTCAAACTCTTCCTAATCAAACACATCTGAATTAACTCATCAAAACATTAGAAGAGACTCTAAAACCTGAAATGAATGGGTCAGATAAGCGAGTTATCTAAAATATGTAATATTGATGTGCCTTCAGGAACAAGGTTGAGAAACACTGCACTAAGCATTTGAATTTTTTGTGACCTTGAACAGAATGAAAAAGGAGGTCAAAATGAGAATGAGAGCCATTTTTTTTTTAAGGGTGCCCATAAAAGCACTGCATTTGATCTGAGAAATATTGTTGCCTTTTTGTTTTGTGATTTGAGGAGCACAAAAGAAAGAACGGCCTTTCATTTTTGAGGTACCCTTTGCTTCATGAACAAAGTCAAATAACACTTATTCAAGGAGGACATAGAGGAAAGTGGAGAGTGTGAGGACAAGTAACAAAGAGAAAGCAATGGAAATAATCAAAGCGTACACTTCAGTTTTAGCCAACAAGATGCCAAAGAATAGAAGCCAATTTATCTCCCAGTTGGAGGTCAGCGGTGGTCACAGACGGGGTCCTATGACATTTGTTTTCACCCCTTACAATCACAATTGTGTAATATCAAATCTAAAGTCACTGTGGAGTCAGTGCTGAGCTTAGGTCTAATACACAGTAGTTGCTATTATATAATTTCTGCAATGTCTGTATCTCAAAGAACATTTACCTTTCATTCTTACATTTATATTTGAAATACAAATGTGATTTAACAATGTTTACTGATAATTATAGTAATAATTGTGCAAAGCTCATAATTTCAGAGTCATTTCATCTATCTATCTATCTATCTATCTATCTATCTATCTATCTATCTATCTATCTATCTATCTATCTATCTATCTATCTATCTATCTATCTATCTATCTATCTGTCTGTACGCCACCCAAAACTTGTTTGTTTTTTGCTTGATCCGTCCGTCCGTCCATCCATCCGTCTGTCCGTCCATAAGACTGATGTGAATTTGCGGTTTCAGCTCAAAATAACCCACAAATAATGTTTTATAACTCTTTAAAACTGGCCCTTTATAAGCCTTTGATCCTAATTGTGCCTGAATAACATAAACTATTTTTTTCTGTTTCTCGGATACTATGCACTGTTTCATTGAGTTCGTTTTTAACCACTGACATCAAAAAGAACCTCCATTTTAGGTCTTTATAATCTTGTTTAAATTATTTTATTGTTTGCTATAGACAAAAGCTAGAAAAACAAATTAAATTAACTTCAAGCACACTGAAAAATGATGATTGCAAACAATTTATCAGTTGAATTTAAACATGCAAATTAAATTTAGTAATGTTCAACTTAATTAGTTTGTTTAAATTCAACCTAAATTAATTGTTTACAACCCCTTGACTTTGAAATTGAGTAAACCCAAGGAATCATCTTTGAAAAACATTTTAGCGCATTAGAGTTAACACAAAAATCATAATTAATTATTCATAACTCATTTGGTTCTGCTTAATATCATCAGTTTATGAGTTGCCATAACTCTTTTTTTATTAAGTCAAATTAACTTTTTTTAAAATTATGAACTATTCAACTAACCTATTTAGTGATCGCTGTTAGGCTTTACAGAGCACACAATAATGTTTAAACCCCTCATTAAAGTCATTTTTTTGCATTATATGTCCCCTTCAAAACATGAAAAGCAGTTCTTTATACATTTACTCACCTAATTTAAAATCCAGGAAATGACTTTTTAAAAGGTTTTAAAAGACATCCTCAGTTCAGCTCTGAAGCACCTGTTTTACCTACACATTCATACTAATGCTGTTTCTTTGCATTTAACATATGTGTACTGTCACCAGGCATACTGAAAACAATGGGCAACAAAAACGCTACAACCAGCGTGCAGAACAGGAGTAGCAGGAATGTGCGAGCCTTTATCAGCAAAGAGAAGTTGGATATTGAAGCCTTCATTACCAGACACGCTGGCCAAGATGTGACAGACACTATACTGCCGGATTCTGTAATCAAGAAGTTCTGCTTTCGACCCGACGTTCCAAACTACCGTATCCTAGTTTCTGAAAACGGTGAGCTTCCATGGCAGGACAGCCAATATATATCACTGTTCATTGAGGATGAGGACGATAAAGAAATCTGCATTAAGCATGTTTTTCTCTGCATGCCCGTACCTTCTGGATCTTCCATTTTAATCTATGACATATAATCATGCTGTCTTGTTTGTTTGTAAATGCCTTCAATGCACATAACCATCCTCAGTTGTTGTAGTCCACTACTTAGTTTTACTTCTCTTCAGTAAATGCATTTGTATCAGTTCCTTTTTTAGAGTCTATGAATACTGTCTGCACAAAGAAGACCTTTGTGTTTTGGAATTTAAAAACAGCCAAAACATGACACATGACTTGTGGTCTGAAAAGATATAGCAATTGCTTTAATATAATAAGAGTTGCCGGCCAGTGGTATTTGATGTCATGCAAATGCCAGTTAGTGACTGGCAGATAAAGGACACATAGTAGTTTACTTTTATTATAGCCTATAAATTATATTCATCTCCATCTAAATTCTCCAGATCAATTCTTGTATAATCCCACTTATTCTGTCCAGCATGGCGAAAACATGTCATTTCGATTAAGTTCAAGATATTCGCCTCTTGCTGGAATTTAAAAGGATGTATCATGTTGCATTTGCATTCTATCTGCTCTCATGACAGCTTATTATGGGAAAGAACATAGCATGACATTGTAAATTTCACAAAACACGCTTCATCAGAGTGACACTAATGCTTTTGTGGTGCTTGCTCATTCATGACATAGCACTAAAAGAAAATACATTTTAATTCAATTCAATTCAATTCAGCTTTATTTGTATAGCGCTTTTATAATGTAGATTGTGTCAAAGCAGCTTCACATAAATGGTCATAGTAACTGGAACAGTGTAGTTCAGGTTTTAGTGTTTAAGTTCAGTTCAGTTCAGTTTAGCTCAGTTCAGTGTGATTTAATCATTACTGAGAGTTCAAACACTGAAGAGCCAATTCATCGATGCGTAGCTCTACCAATCCTGAACCATGCGAGGCAGTGGCGACAGCGGAGAGGGAAAAAAAACTTCACCTGATGGGAGTGAAGAAAAAAAACCTTGAGAGAACCAGACTCAGTTGGGCACGACCATTTTAATTTCTCCGCTGGCCAAAAGTCTTGTGCAGAATTTTAAGAATACAACGTGTTCTGTGAATAGAACTTTAGTGACTTAAGTGATTTCTGTACTGATTTCTGCTATTTACATAGTCCCATTTTGGGGGCAATACAGGTGCTTGAATGGTCTATGTGACATTTAACCCTCTACTGACACATTATGATAAATCTATATAAAAATATCTGACTGTTTTTCTGTTCTTAGAATGGCTTAACTTAAAGTTATGTCCAAATATTTTTTTGGATTTTTTTTAAAGGTACTTTATAATATGTTGCAATATGGCAACAACGTCCAACAGTGGATCCAACTTAAAAATTTCAAATGTAGAATTTTCCTTATAATTAATAATTTTGTTGTTTGAAACTATTTAATTTGTGTTGCATTATTATAAGCTTGAACACAGAACTTATAAATTATAACTTATAGCTCCTTACCACATACTTTCCAACAACTCATATTCCAAAAGCTTTCATTTGTTCCATTATGTTCTGCTGAATATTATTGAGAAAATAATAATATTGAATAATCATACAACATAAAGTAAATATATTTTTTCTCCAGTAAATATAACAAATAAGTAGCAAGTCTAATATATCCAGATGCATCAGAATAATGTAGCTACTAGCTAACAATGTTTATGTATTATACTATATACTATACTACGCCTCTCTTATCTGCCTCTGAGCTAACTTACCTGAATTGTCTCCATCACTGTTCTTAACAAATGTCCAATCTGCATTATTCTCATGGTCACTAAAACCCATCTTATTCTCACTTTCATTTGCAGGAAGAGCCAGTTCTCTCATTTTCTTCTTTCACTTATCATAGAACATGGTGGTCCTCACTAATACACTGTTCTCTGTATTTATATATAATCAAAAATATTGCCATTATATCCATAATTCAAATGCCTTTAACATATGACTAATCAACAATATATTACTGGCATTCATGTTGTTATTGTTAGAACTTAAAAGATTGCAGCTGACCTTGCTAGCTAGCTAACCCATTGCAATACTGCACATTCCACTATTGGACAGTGTTGCCATTTGGCAACTTATACATTTGATCCATTAACAAAAAACTCATTTGATAAAAACTAATTTGAGTTGTGAATATGTCATCATAGCTTACTGGAGGTGATGTTTCAGATTTTTTTGTGGATCTGACAAAATTTGATCCTTTGTTTTTATTGACGTTGTCATTTGCATTCAGCAAATAACAATAAACGACAGCCTGTCAGAAATCGTGCCACAGAAAAACACTACATGTCATGTGACTTCAAGCTCATCTTTGGTTAAGCCAAGGTCTTCTCTTTCCAACAAAAAAATTTGAACGTAACTCAAACCATTTGAGGAAACTGATTGCAACAAATCTTAAAAGTTAAAAACTAATATTAATGAGTACTGTAAACTTAATCAATTTGAGTAACGATGCAATTTGAGCACAGTAAAACTCAATAAATAAAGAGAACTCAAACCAACTGAGGACTGTAAAACCTAATAAGTTAAGGCGACTCAAACTGTTTGAGGAAACCAATTGCTACAAACCATTTGAGATAAAAAAAATCTATATGAGTACCGTGAACTTACTTTATTTAAGTTGAATAATGAGGTATTTAATTAACTCATTACCTTCAACACAGAGTTCAAAACTCTTCGAATGAGTAGAATTAACTTTCAGCAAATTTTGAGTTAACTACACTCATTTCATTTGATAAAGTTGGCTGTTGGGTTTTACAGTGAGGGGAAAAATGCAAGTATGTTAACTTTAGTAAAAATCTAAATGATTATGGGTTTAATAGAAATCTGAAGCCTTCAAAACACACAAATACCATTTCTTATTCAACCACTGAGGCGCCACTCATTTTTACACAGACATTGAATAAGTTAACAGCATGACCATGACTTGCAGAACATCTCTCTTGGGTTGAACGCATAAAAGAAAGCCAAAGACACAAACTTAGGAGGGAAAAATCTGTCCACTGACTGTCAGAAATATTGTAAGGTAAGATTTTAATGAGCCTAAAATGATTATACAGTTTATGGAAGATCTTTTTTAATTAAAGAAATGAAGCATGCACTTTTATGTTATGAAACTGTTGTAGTGTTCAAGGTTACTGAAAAATTATAAAGCTATTGAGTATGCTCTAAATGTAAAAGACATTAGGAAATGACTAATATTCTGTTTGCTCTGAAATCTTTACTTTATACCGCCGTCTGCTTTACACACACAGATGCGTTCAATTGTGTCCTTCTATTTGCTGAGTGTGTGGCTCAGTTTTTTGTGTGTGATTTTTGTGTGGCTGTGGAGTGGGACGTGGAGGGGAGGATTTGCTTGGGACGGTTCTTTTCTGCAGTTTAACTGGCACCCAGTACTGATGGTGACGAGTCTTGTGGTGCTGTATGGAAATGGTGAGAAAATATTATTTTCATTTCTCTTTTCTGTCTCACAATTTTTTTAAAGAATTTATTTCAATAGTTACTTGTAACTATTATATTATTACAGTTAAAAAAAAGTTTGTCAATGCATATAATTACAAAACAATTACTATATATATATATATATATATATATATATATATATATATATATATATATATATATATACACACACACACACACAGTGGAAGTCAGAATTATTTGACAGTAAATAATATTTGACTTGATATTTTTCAAGACACTTCTATACAGCTTAAAGTGACATTTAAAGGCTTAACTAGGTTATTTAGGTTAACTAGGCAAGTTAGAGTAATTAGGCAAGTTATTGTATAATGGTGGTTTGTTCTGTAGACTATCCAAAAAATATATAGCTTAAAGGGGCTAATAATTTTGACCTTAAAATAGTTCTTAAAAAATTAAAAGCTGCTTTTTTTTCTTGCCAAAATAAAACAAATAAGACTTACATATAAACTATAGAGCTAACTTTAGAATTATATATAGTTTATATAGTTCTATAGTTAGTTCTATAGTTTATATATGTCTTATTTGTTTTATTTAAATTTTTAAATATATATTACCAAAAAAAGCCTTTAAAGTATTGAATACATTTCAGTAGTGTAGTTCTTTCTCCTTGTGTTGTTTCATTGTTACTACACATAACTAATTTTTCAGAGTTTTTAATGTTTTGTTTAATTTTTATGTTATTATTGTTTGGGGGTTTTAACAAAATATGGTTTAATTCCTTGTCAACAGAAGAATTTTATTCCCAGGAAAAACATGACATGTTCAATACTATATATACTAGTAAATTAATTTCAATTACTTTTGTGAAAACAGCTTCCTATATACATGTCAAAAAAGCAAATTGTTATTTTATTACTGTTTATTATTGAATTTTACTGTATTTCAACGTCATAGATGATTGTTTTTTTATGCTTTTACTTCAGAATACGCTATATAAATATTTATCTGTTTACATCTTACCTCACACATGCTCTTTGATTGTTAATATGGAATTGCGTTGTGATAGAATTTTGTAGCTGTAAAGGTAAAATCCATCCAATGTAGATCTACTTCGATTTGATTGGACGTCACAGTATGAGTTTGATATTATAGGGCCATTGCAACCCAAACCATTTAAGTTTTTAAGCTTTTGTAACCCAAACAACGACCAGAGAAGCAGTTGTTTCAAATATAGAATTACGACCCTGAATGTACAAGTGGAACATGAAATATTATCTGTCACACACGTCTGTCAACAGCAAGTGCGCTATACAGCCAGTGATATTTTCCACCAAATTGAAAATAAACTGTTGGTTAAATTCAGATTGATGTAACACAGATTTAATTAAACACAAACAGCTGTGCTCTAATGGAGAGTCTTTTAACTTGCGTATGCAAGAGTTCATTTGCAGTGTAGTGAGTCATAAAGGCTATTTGTCTATGCAGTAGGCATTTTTGTGGAGATGACGTAGAAAAGCATATTCAAGAATGATTTCCTTCATAGTTTTAGGAGTCCACTCACAATTTCAAACTCAGAAGTTTTTGTAATCTAATGTTCACTGTTAATTTTTAGAATAAAGAAATATAAAATGTGTTCATACAGTATTGTTGCTAATACAACAATGATACACTTGGGACATTTTTCTGGTCCAGGGTCACATGATATAACCCTGCATGGCATATAATGTGTGAATTTGTATGTGTATTCTAAAAATAAACAGTGAACATCCGTTTACAAAACAGGAACCTATTATTTAAAGAATTATGAAATGTCAACAGATTATCTCTAAAATAAAATAATTTGTCACATTAAGCAATGTGTTATTTTTATTTATTATGATGCTACATTAAAGGCTTTTAAATATAACAATTTAAAATTGAGTTATGTTATAGAATGTTCCTTTTTTCTATGATGTCAAAGTAATATTTTCAAAAGACATTACTCCAGTCCTCATGTCATGCTCCATTTACTGATTTAGTGCTTAATATACATTTATTTTTGGTGTCGTGGTGGCGCAGTGACTAGCACGATCGCCTCACAGCAAGGTTACTGGTTCGAGCCCTGGCTGGATCAGCTGGCATTTTGGCATTTGGCATTGTGCGGAGTTTGCATGTTCTCCCCATGTTCGTGTGCATTTCCGGGTGCTCTGGTTTCCCCAAAGTCCAAAGACATGCGCTATAGGGGAATTGGGTAAGCTAAAATGTCCGTAGTGTATGTGCGTAATTGTAAGTGTATGGGTGTTTCCTATGTTGGGTTGTGGTTTAAAGGGCATCCACTGCGTAAAACATATGCTGGATAAGTTTTTGGTTCTTTCCGCTGTGGTGGCCCCTGAATAATAAAGGCAGTAAGCTGAAAAGAAAATGAATGAATGAATGAATGAATGAATGAATGAAAAATTTATTTTAGCTACCAATGTTAAACTTTTTAGAATGCATGAATTAAAGAATTAATTTATTTGGTATTCCTGTAAGTGTATGTACAGTTATATACTCCAAAAAATTATTATTCTATGTATATTAATAATAATAATAATAATACATTTTACTTGTAATGCGCTATTCTTAAACTCATAGCGCTACAAGGTAAAATACTAACAATACAAGACAAGCAAAGCTGCACAACAATAAAAACATGCAATAAAATAATAAGTATATGAACCATACGATAGATTTAAAAGTTAACCAATTGGTCATCCTAAGTTAAAAGCAAAACTAAAAAGGTGAGTCTTAAGAAGTTTTTTAAAACAGTCCAGAGAGGCAGCATTCCTAATGCTTATGGGTAGTGCATTCCACAGTACGAGAAAGCCCTCCCATCCATGGTGTTGAGTTTGCACACGGCTGGTACAGGGTAAGTCCCAATGCCGGACAAAGACTGTGGGCTGGTCACAGATGTAAGCAGGTGCTAGCCCATGCACTGCTTTAAAGGTTAAAATCAAGGTCTTAAAATCAATCTGTGATTTAATAAGAAGCCAGTGTAATTGTAATACAGGAGTAATATGGTGGCATGATAATGTGTGTGTCAGAACCCGTGCAGCGGAATTTTATCATTGTGCAGTACACAGTATCAGATTTATGCCATGTTCAGAACACTTTGTCACCTTAGAATTCATTCATTCATTCATTTTCTTGTCGGCTCAGTCCCTTTATTAATCCGGGGTCGCCGCAGCGGAATGAACCGTCAACTTGTCCAGCAAGTTATTACGAAGCGGATGCCCTTCCAGCCACAACCCATCCCTGAGAAACACCTTAGAATTATATGGTCCTATTTGACATTTTTGTCAAAATTGAGTTATTGACATTTTTTTTTTTTACATTATGAGATGTTTTTTAATAAGTTGTTTACATTTTAAGACTTTTTATTTTAAAAAAAATGTTACACACATACTGTTTGCTATGGAATGCAAAAACGCTGAAGCTCAATATCTCAAAATCATTCAGAACGCGAATAGAACCTTGTAATTCCAAGGTGACGACTTGCTGTGAGTGTTTATTTTACCAGTTTTCTCTGTTTGCCTTCCTCCATCTCTCTGTGTATCTGTTTCTCATCTTCAGCCATCGTCCTGTATCGTGTTCCTCTGACCTGGAGCAGATGGAGGTGTAAGTTATCCCATGCAGGGCTGTTGTCTGTGGCTGTGGTGTTATCTGTGCTGGGCGTGTGTGCAGCGTTTGATTTTCACCGTGGCAACAACATCCCTCATCTGTATTCATTACACAGCTGGATTGGGATCTCCACAGTGGTCTTATTCACTCTGCAGGTATAGCACTGGCCTCATGACTGACATGTCAAATTATTTTCATGCTTGACAAAGCTCTGTGAGTATGTTCTACTCCAACAGCTTTCAAAGGAATGATGTTTGACATCGTCTCCTGTGCTTTTCTCCTCTGACCGAATAGTGGTTTGGGGGTCTTTGTGCCTTCTTGTTACCCTGGACCCCTTTGGCTTTTAGAGTCTTTCTGAAACCTCTCCATGTCTGGATGGGAACTGCCATCTTCATCCTGAGTCTCATCGCCAGCCTGTCCGGGATCAATGAGAAACTACTGCTGACACTGTGAGTCATTATCCAATTGACCTATCTATCAGTAAGGCCCCGACTGCTTAGTTACTTATTCGGACAAACAATACCTGTCTTACAATGACAGCTGTCTGGCAGAAAACCTTGTCCCATATGTTTTTGAAACGTTTTGCACACAGTAGGACCATCGATTATGTAAGAACATTAAAGTTGGACTTAAATTTGCCAGTAAGGGTTACAGTGAGGGAAATAAGTATTGAACACGTCATCATTTTTCTCTGAAAATATATTTTTAAAGGTGCTTATTGACTTGAAAATGTTGGTACCAACCAAATAAATCCATCTTTACAAATAAAACCAAACTAATTAATTTACAAATAAAGTTATGTGTTATAAAATGAAATGTCACAGGGAAAAGTATTGAACACATGAAGAAAGGGAGGTGTAGAAAGGCAGTGAAAGCCCAGACAGCAGCTGACATCTCTCATTTATTATTCAGCAATCCACTGTCCTTCATCATTGTAAATTAACATTAGCTGTTTCAGTCCAACATCTACATTACCAGGATGGACATTTTAGCAAGACAATGATCCAAAGCAGAGCCAAGGAAACTCTCAAATGCTTTCAGAGAAAGAAAATCCGGCTGTAGAATGACTTTGTTTCAATCCAAGAGAAATTAGATTTGATAGACAAGAACCAAAGAACCATCATGATTTTTACACACTGTTGAAATCACACTGAAGCAATGCATGTGACTTCATTCTCCGTGCGAGACACATTCTACATGTGACAAAAAGTATTGTCTATCATAGTTGGAAAGGCCACCAATATACTGTATGAGTCAGAACTACTCATTTTTGTTTTATGACAAAAAATATTAGAATGTTATGTAAAGTTTTCATGTTCCATGAAGACATATTGTAAACGTCCCACAGTAAATATACCAAAATTACATTTTTGATTAGTAAAATACATAGCTAAAAACTTATTTTGGACAACTTTATATTAATATTTATATATATTTTTCGAACCCTCAGATTCCAGATTTTCCAATTGTATTTAGGCCAATTGTTGTCCAATTCTAACCATACAACAACGAAATAATGGCATTGCATACTTAAATACAACATTTAGGTAACTATTTTGTTAGAATTACATTTTAAATAGTAAAATTTTTAATACTTTACATCCTTAGAGTATTTTAAATTACCAAGGCTATTACTCTGTATTTTGTTGTCATACTAATAAATCTGAAAAAAAAGGCAAAACATCTCAGTATGGTTTAATGGTCTTTTAGAATTATACTTTGCATTCAGGAGAATTAATAATTCCCACATGGAAAGAAACTATATGAGCATATATGCGCATATATGAAACCTATATATATATATATATATATATATATATATATATATATATATATGTGCATATACAGGCCATATACGTTTTCCTGTATTGTTTCCTGTATACACACATAAGCCTTATATGTACATAGATACATACATATAACATAGGAAAACTGCAAATTTTATATATGTATCATATAATAAAAACCTATATTCAACTTATATGTTTATAGGTTCTCTCCGTGTGGGTTGTAAGGACTTTGTGTGCTTACAGATGAACTGGAAGTCTTTATTCATTAGAAATATTAAGATGGTATATGACAATACATGGTATATAGTCAATGCTAAATGAATCATTTATTTTGTTCAATGAAACCAGTATGAATGATTCACAAACTGGATAGATCTGGAGTGTGTTTCCCTAGAGGTTCATTACTGAACTGTGCTTGTTAAATTACATTGAACTGTAATGACATTTCCGACATTTTGGCTGTCAATTTTGACTCAGTGATTCTTTTGTGCTGTCCGCTTCTCCATAGAGAGGATTATCAATGAAGTAATCACTTAAAGTTTGGTCCATTCATTAAACAAATGGGTCATTCTACAGAAATGTCCACCTTTCTGCCCCTAGACTCAATTAGAAAATCCCCTTTAAAGACTCCTCTACATTTTAAAATGTTCTTATATTTTAAAACGAAATCTTATGTTATTTGAATAATGACACCTTTTTTTAGTCTTCAATATGGCACTGGTGATAATTGTTGTATGATTACATAATTACAAGCAGCACAAAATTGCTCATCCTCACAGCCAGCTTTCTTTTGAGTTCAAATACGGATTTTTCTGCCATTCAAAATACAATAATGTTTTCATAATAATGAAAAATAGGATGTAAATGGCATTTTATTAATGGCATTCATATAAATATTACAAATTACATAAAGTAGAGGAGTTTTGTTACTGGTGCTGCCGTTTAATAAAATCTAGTATTCTGAAATAAAATCACTTATGACATAACTTGAATTTCTTCTTTCTGTTTTCTAAAGATCTATAAAGAAAGGTCTATTGTAATTCCACTGTCTCTTTTTATTTAGCAGACAGTTGTCTTATTTATCTCAGAATTATTTCATATGAAGCTTCAAGGTGGCGTTAAAAAATATACAATTAATAGTCATTTAATTTAAAATACATTTAATTTATTCAGTATAACTTGATTTTAGGCTGTGCAGTGGGTAGCACGTTCGTCTCACAGCAAGAATGTCGCTGGTTCGAGCCTCGGCTGGGTCAGTTGGCATTTCTGGGTTGAGTTTGCAAGGGTTTCCTCTGGGTGCTCTGGTTTCCCCCTCAAGTCGTGAAGTTTGCATGTTCTCCCTGTGTTCGCATGGTATAGGTGAACTGGGTAGGCTAAAATTGTCCATAGTGTATGTGTGTGAATGTTTCCCAGTGATGGGTTGCAGCTGGAAGGGCATCCACTGTGTAAAACATATGCTGGATAAGTTGGCGGTTCATTCGGCTGTGGTGACCCCAGATTAATAAGGGGACTAAGCCGAAAAGAAAATGAATGAATGAATAACATGATTGTTAACATGTGGTTAGATATCTTGCAGCATTTTGCAAAATGCAATTTTTATGAACAACGTTACTGGTGTTACTAGCACTGATGTTTATTTTCTTATGGTAACACCATTAAATATCATTATTTCATTATGTTTGCTGTTTCATTGAATCACTGCTGTTACTGTGTTTTTTCCCATCACATAAATTAAAATGTGTCACATGTGACAAGATGATCATTTTGCATCCATTGAATAAAGATTTAAGATTTAAAGGACTGCATCATTAATTTATAAATACTTTTCAGATATTTTCATAGTTATATATATTTTTAAAGCATAATATCTTTATCTGTTACAATTGTTTTGTAATTGCAGAAAGTTACAAAAATTGAAACCAATAAATAATGAATGTTCAAACTTCATATACAGCCAAAAAAGTAGCCAGTTGTTTTTTGGCAAAATTTATGATGTATTTGATAAATTTGGATTGATTTTCCAGCCTGGAATGCAAAATCAAACAGCTCAGAATCCCATCCATTTGTGTTATAAAATTATTTCATAATATACAGAAATATTTAGATTAAGTTAGTAAACCTGAGTAATCTAACAGAATACATCATTAATTACTTTATAAAGCATCCAGTTTATCGTCTGTAATGAAATACATTTTAAAAGTAATCTTTCCAGACCTGCAGAAATCTCAATGTCCAAAAATTGTCCCTTACAACTGGTTTGGGGTCCAGAGTCACAAATAAATATGATGTATAGCAAGATCAATTTAACTCACTTTGCTAGTGGCAGTTAACTTAAGCTACCATTAGCATGTGCTAGCTAACGTTAGGTAATTCAGCTTACCTAGATCAAAGCTTTGATGATCTTTTGGACATAGAGTTGTCTTTTTGGGTTGTGGGTTTAGGAAACAAATGATTTAGGATTTAAATGAATTCCTTTGCTTGTCCTCATTCTACCATTTTTGTAGCACAAACATCATCAAATTGATACTTCCTGATGTTCCTCTTTTGTGCTTAAACTAAACATGTCTGAGTTCTGGTCGCTGTGCAGCTGATGCTTAACTGTCATTGGCTCATCTGCTTTCAAGAGAAGGGGCTTACTGATAGGTCAATTATCACATCCATGAATTCACTGCAGTTTATCTCATTCAGATAAATAACAGCTTTTCTTAACGAATTAGCTGTGTGGGAGGCTCATATTATGACAAACCCACCCTGTAATTGTATATTTTTCTTTCTTTTGAATGTTTTAACAATGACAGAGTTGTTTGTATCTGTTTCACTCTTCCTGTCCAATTGTGTCTCAGCAGAAATGGGAGAAATGGAAGCAATACAGAACCATATACGGCGCTGCCTGCTGAAGCTCTGTTTGCAAACTCATTAGGCATTTTAGTTGTTATTTTTGGACTGGTAGTGCTGAGAATTCTGTCCAATCATAAATGGAAGAACCCACAGTTTGAAAATGAATCTGACAGGGTGAGTATGATGTTAGAAGAGTTTCAGTATTATACACTCAATGGTCACTTTGATAGGTACGCCTTACTAGTGCTGGTTTGGACCCCCTTTTGCCTTTAGTACTGCCTTAATCCTTTGTGGCATAGATTCAACAAGGTACTGAGATGGTTCGCATTTTGTGGCATGACCACCATTCACCTTTTATGACCATCACCAGCAGCCTGAATTGTTGAAACAATGCAGGATAGATTTGATGCTTTTATGTAGTTGATGCCAAATTCTGACCCGACCAGCCGACTCATCAGACCAGGCAACGTTTTTCCAGTCTTCTATTGTCCAATTTTGGTGAGCCTGTGCAAATTGTAGCCTGTTTCCTGCTGACAGGAGAGGCACCCCGGTGTGGTCTTCTGCTGCTGTTGCCCATCTGCCTCAAGGTTGGACCTGTTATGCCTTCAGGGATGCTCTTCTGCATACCTCGGTTGTAACGAGTGGTTATTTGAGTTACTGTTGACTTTCTATCAGCTGGAATCAGTCTGGCCATTCTCCTCTGACCTCTAGCATCAATAAGGCATGTGTGCCCACAGAACTGCCGCTTACTGCATATTTTCTCTTTTTTGTACCATTCTCTGTAAACCTTAGAGATGGTTGTGCATGAAAATTAAAGTAGATCGTCAGTTTCTGAAATACTCAGACCAGCCAGTCTGGCATCAACCACCATGCCACGTTCAAAGTGACTTAAATCACCTTTTTCCCCATACTGATGCTGGGTTTAAACTGCAGCAGATCGTCTTTACCATGTCTGCATGCCTAAATGCATTGAGCTGCTGACATGTAATTGGCTGATTAGAAATTTGCGTTAACTAGCAGTTGGACAGGTATACCTAATAAAGTGAGTGGCCAGTGAGTGTATATTTTCAGTCGTTTATATATTCTTGTAATAATAATAATAATAATATACAACAAATAAAAATAAAATAATAATAATAATTAAGAGACCACTTAAAAATGCTCAGTTTATCTAGAGTTATAAATATAAAACGCAATTTTGTTTTATTCTGTAAACTGCTAGTTTACAGGATGAGAACGTTTTTGAGGAAAAAATGTCAGCTATTCTCAGATGTTTATATACAGTACACAAGAGTTTAAGAATTGGTTCAAAATCAAACCAAAATCAAAATCAGACTTTTCAAAAACATTTTAAAATCTCAGAAACATACTGTATCCCCGCAGATTCACAGATGAGGATTAAGGCTAGTCCTAGATTTATTTTCATGTTTAAGCTGTCTTAACAGAAATAACCTGTAGTGAGATATCTTAAAATAATGTCAATTTTCTTAAACAAATTTTCATTTTTTTCGCTTCTCTTGATTTCTCCTCTTTTTTTTAAATGTGTATGGAATATTTGTGTGTGTGTGTGTGTGTGTGTATATATATATATATATATATATTTTTTTTTTTTTTTTGTCTAGATTTTGTAAGTTTTATTTTCAAATGTTTGTAATCTGTAACGTGCAGACAGTGACTAAATTTCTTGTTTTGATTTTGTTTTATTTGTAGCCTTTGCTGACAGATGCCAGATGAAGAGATCAAGAAGAAACTGCGCATCGGAATTCAGCTTATGTTTACAGCTTTTACATCAAACCACCTTAGTGTCCATTTGACAGACTTTTAGTATACCTTGTCAGTTAGAGACAGACCTCTTGTGGTTAGCAAGAAAATTGCAAAACACTTATAATAACAGACTTATTTTCTTTAGCTGTTAATCATTTGATGTGAGTTTATGTATTTTGGTTTTGTGTATATTTGCATGCGTTTTATGTACAGAACTTTGGTAATCATTGTGGTTTGTGAAAGTGCTATAGAAAGTGAGTTGAGTTGAGTTAGCAAGGAAATTGCAAGAAAATGTAACTCAATAAACCGTTCTGTGTACAAAGAATCCGTTTGCCTAGTACCACATATATAATGTTTATTAATAATTGTTTAATTCAATCTCGTGTTGAAGTAGAGCTCATCTACAAATCTAACTCGTTAGATTTTCGAAAAGTGGAGATGCCGGGGATTGAACCCGGGGCCTCATACATGCAAAGCATGCGCTCTACCACTGAGCTACATCCCCTTACATAGCTATTGCTCATTTATAGCGATTAAAACTTAAAAGCAGGACATGAAGTATATGAATATATATAGTTATTTGGAGAAATTATCGTGATAAAATACAGAAAATGTATCCTTACATATTTATGGATACTGTATATCACGGATTTTTTTTAAATCTTTTCTCTGTGTACGTGCATCGTGACGGCATCCCTTACTCATCGAATCGGGTCCTGATTGGTTTACAATTACACAAAATATGATGGTGGCCAATGAAATAAATTTACGTTGAACTCTGATAATGCCATGTCGTCAACGCATTCATCGGTGTTATCTCGACGAAACCCGCAGGTGAATGTGTGTACACAAAGATGACGAACCACACACAGACGCTCTGAAATGGTATGTTTCATAGGCTAAATACTACAACAACCGGTGGATTTTGAAGCGGATTTCTGTATAATATCTACAGCATGTCCGCTTTTGTGGTGAGTGGAAGTTTAGGCACGAAATGCTACGAGTTTTTCGTTAGCCTGCTAAAGTTGTTAGCTAAACTGTTCAAACGCTGCGTTCAGATTTGAACTTACTGGACTAAAGTGATTTAACGTTAGTGCAGAGTTCAAGGTTTGCATCATAACTTTACATAATTTTATAAAGACTTTTAAATTAACTAGTTGCAGGCCTTGTAAAATATGTGTACCGTTAACGTTGCCATTGTTACACATGCATTAGGCCCATTTAAGTACATATAATTCATCTACAACACGTAACTTACGTGTATATTACCATTTTGCAAACGAGTTTTTTTGGACTGCTTGAGATAAAGATGGTAATTATTTTTCATATGTTGTCAGGACCAAGTTTCATTGGTCGTTATTGAGCAGTTCTTATGTTTTCCACAAGGGGCTTTTAAAGATTTTATACTATAACAACATTTCAAGGTGTGATAGTCAAACAGCTGCCAATGAGTTAAGTTGATTTAAAGTAAATCATCTATGCTGTTTATAAAGGTGTTTTTGTGTATGAATTAAATGGAAATGTGTCAGAGAAGCACTTTTAAAGTGGCATGAAAGTTTCTAGACAGCTGCCCGTAAATTAGGTTTTATATTTTACACATTCAGATTTCTCCTTAATAACATAACTTCAGAAAACTATTTTTTGCAAATTCTAAATAGTGTAATCATTAGCAGCCAGTGACTATCAAAGTACAACATTGTTCAAAGACAATTAAATTAGTGTTGTTTTCAAATTCATACTTGCATGTGGTTTCAGACCGAATATTCAAAGTACTGTGGAAATATAAATTTATATCATCTAATTTCAAATTAACAATAATCTACGTATAACTGAAAAGTTATATTCTCTGGTTTTTAATTATATAATTTCATTAACATCCCCGCTAGGAGGGACATTTAACCTTTATCTCTCTCACTACAGGCTAAGCCAGTGATGCAAATGCTTTAAACGACTCTGTCTTTGTCTTCGGGTGTTGCTTTTATGCTACAGAAACCCTATGTTGATTAACTTGTGTGGTCAGTAGCTGGGCTGTTTTTTAACACCTATGCCATGCTGACTCCAACCCTTAATTTGCATGCTTTGTTTAGCTATATCCCCTCCTCCTAAGAACACAATATAGCCATGAAATCTTTGTCTTAATTCAGACTAATTCAGACTTGTGTGAGACTTGTGAGAGACTTGTGAAAGAACTTGCAGACTGCGGACCTCTAGTAGGCTCTTGCAGACACATGAACATCTTAAAGACGCTGTATGACTGCAGATTAACCAACACGTCTCAATAAAGGAATTCTGCTTGTTTCGAGTCTCCTGGACTGGGTTCTCTCTCTTCTTTTCACTCGCTCATTGATTTTTTTACAACAGTACCATGGCAAACAATGTAGGGAGCGTGTCACAAGTTGTCAGTCATTGTATGGATATGCGAATATAAAACTAACTTTACCTCAATACCGAAAATTACATGAATGTATTTTCACTTAAATGACCACTGTATGCTTTGATACAAGTGCCTGGAGTCATTTAGAGTCAGCATAATTTAGTCTGGCTATTGTGAACTTTACGAGCAGGCATAGAGCAGCTTTAACTTTTCCTTGTAAGAACAGCTTATAAAACAGTGTGGTCAGGATTGGTGTTTATGTGCAGCTGTTTACATCAGACCCAACTGCTTTGCAGGATCTAAAAAATGTTTAGACATTACCAGAGGAAATATAGGCCTATGTAACATTAAATCAATTCGATGTGAAATATAAGACAAAAATACTGGTAATTTTCAGCTTGCATGTTCTTAAAAATGTCATGCAATCATATATTTCAAAAATCAAAAAAGTTTTGTGTGGTTTATACAATACTGAGATTTTAAACAAATTCACATTTTTAGTTAATAACAAATGAATAATGCATTGGTTAAAATGTGACAACTTTCAAAACTGAATCAATTGTACATTCACTAATTAGTGAAAAGTTCCTTATAAGATACCATATTGGGGCTCAACAATAAGGACCGCCTGATGGCCCGAGGCCAGTGTGCGAAATTCTCGGGACAGAAGACAGGATCGTTACTGGCCTGATTAAGGCATTGCTGCCTATGTCACAAAATTTGTCCGCAACCTTTTGTCAATTGTGTGCAAATACAGTTTTAGAATCGAGAAACAGTTTGTGTTTTTAAGCCTTCAAATGCTACCTTCTCTGTGATGTTTTGAACGCCATATTGCTTTTCGATTCCTCTTATCTTATTGGATGTTGTGAGCACGTTATTTTTTCGTAACAACCAGTACAGCGAAGAGACGGCAACATGGTGGCAACATCAAATTATGATGCTAAAAGAAAACATCTGTTTCTAACCTGGAATCTGAGATTTACGAGGGTATAACATAAATAAAAAATGAAGTGATGTTTTGTACAGTTTGCCCTCAGTTTGGCAGGTCAGCTACTTTTTGTTTTTTAATAAACTACCTGCACATTATCCATACTACTTTTTTTTTTTTTTTTTTGCATAACACATTGAATGTTGCTCGTTATACATTTATTAACATTTTTTAAATATTTAAACTTTAGACTTACAAACATTTTGACACAATATTTAAAATATGTGGCTAAGAAATGGCTATTAACTTTTTCTTTTTTGGTGGTGCCAGTGAAAATATTGGCAGGCCAAGTAAAAATATGAACCAGTAATTCAATCGGGCCAGTAGAAAAAATCCTTATCGTTGAACCCTGCATATGGTTTTAGCTAAAAATGTATATACATTTAAAAAGCTGAAATGGATCCTGTATGTAAAAATAGTATTCAGATCTTGAATAAATAATGAGAGGTAAACAAACGGACCAGTCACTCAACACAGCTGTTTTTCTACAGCACTTCAACAGATGTGTTCTTGCGTGAACATTTATTGACCAGCAACTTCTAGTTAAAGATTTTTCCCTCTTAAAGGAAAAATTTAAATCACATCTGTTTGTATTCAACTTTTTTTTTTTTTTTTTTGTTTAATATTCCAGCCAAGAGCATCTGTCAGAAAGTGATTCACGGTAAAAAATTGGCTACTTATTTAGGTCACATTTTTATTTGGGAAGCAGTTCACACTATTGACTAACTATTAACTATAACTTTTGCCTCAAATAAGCATCTAAACTTGCTCTTTATTAATATTTAGCTTTAGCTTGGTTTAGTAAAGGGGTAGGATTAAAATAATTAAAATAGGGCTCCAATATGCAGTTGAAGAATTGTTAGCCCCCCTTTGATTTTTTTTTTCTTAAAATATTTCCAAAACTATGTTTAACAGAGCAAGAAAATTTTCACAGTATGTCTGATAATATTTTTTCCTGGTGAAAGTCTTTTGTTTTATTTCGGCTAGAATGAAAGCAGTTTTACATAAAAAAAAAAAAAAAATTAAGGTCAAAATTATTAGCCCCTTTAAGCTATATTTTATTGATAGTCTACAGGGCAAACCATCATTATACAGTAACTTGCCTAATTACCCTAACCTGCCTAGTCAACCTAATTAAAACCTAGTTAAGCCTTTAAATGTCACTAAGTCTAGAGGTGTCTTGAAAAATATCTAGTAAAATATTATTTACTGTCATCATGGCAAAGATAAAATAAATCAGTTATTAGAAATGATTTATTAAAACTATTATGGTCAGAAATGTGTTGAAAAAAATCTTCTCGCTGTTAAACAAAAAAAATAAATAAATAAACAGGGGGGCTAATAATTCTGACTTCCACTGTTTATTGCGATATGAATCCAATTTTACCAAATGACTTGAATAAATCTGTTGGAAAGAATTCATTAGTTTAGATTGATTGAGAATGTTTTCTTGGGAGTCTTAATAGTGTTGAGGTACAGAAATCTAATGTAAAACAACATGGTGTTCATTGTATAAATCAATCGCAAAATGACAATAATAATGTTACAAACCGCACTGTTGTTTGGTGTCTAAATGCTTATAACATCTGAAATTGTGAAAAAATACAGATGATAAACTTTTGCTCTGTTATGGTTAAACACTGGAGTGACTTCACAAACCTCATGTATTCTGAATTGTGTGAGATCAACTATCCCAACTCAACATTGCACATCCTGCGACGTGACTATTGTGCATTGCAATATTGATGCTGAAACGATATATTGTGCAGCTCTAATTTGAAATATGGACGTTATGATCCCCAAACTAAAATGTGACTCTTATTCTTTATAATCTACCCTACATTCCTGTTTACATTTGTCTTTCTAGGCCCATCCGTCAGTTCGTGTCAGAGGAACCGAACACACTTACACTCCTGTGCTGTGTCAGGATGAGAAGTGTTTGGGGCAGGAGAAAGGTGTGCACATGCACTGCCCACTGTGTGCTGTGACCGAGGCTTATCAAGACCCGGTCATCCTTCGAGCTCACTTCCGCATCAAACACGTGGACAAAGGCATTGACTTTGCTGGTGAGGCACAGTGTTGCTATAGACTTTAGCGTGTATGATTTCTGCAACCTCTCTCATAAACTTCTCTTTTTATGGACAGGCTTAAAAGTGCTGCGCTGCTGTATCCATTGTGAGATTGTAGGCACTATAAAAGGAGAAAAGAGGTTTAAAGGTGCACATTGGCACTGTTACCGCTGCAGAAATGGTTTCAACAGGAGGGATGAGGCCATCAAACACTATAAAACACACTTCCGAAACCCTCACACCACATTCCAGATCCAAGTCACGCAGGTAATTGCTGTATAACACTGGATTAAAGGTCTGTTCACAACAAGAATGAAAACTCATATAAATGAATGAAAAATGTTCTGTATTTTAAAAGCAAGTGCAATATTTTGTCATCTGCCACTTTAAATTATCTTTATCTACTTAAATTTATAATAGAGTTTACTTTGATATTTCATGAAATTTGTAAAACCATTACTGTTATTTAAAAAAGAGCTGCATGATTATTAAAAGGTTATGATCTTAATTCAAACACCCATGTCATCTTCATTCTTAATGACCACAATTTGAATATTCTCATTAATGATCATACGCTGAGGATCAAAGTTGTACAATAAAATCTGAGTTTTGACCTAAAGAGAGCAGTCATCATGTATAGATTAAATTAGCTTTAGTCTTTGTTATAAACATTCAAATGGTCGCAGAAGTTGCAAGATAACAAGTTAATCATTTAATATAGAGATTTATGTTGACAGTAGCAAACAAAATCAACTTTTGAAAGCAAGTTGGTGCTTCAAATGCAGTTTGCATGCCAATAAAAATGTATTTGTCACTTAATAATTTGTTCGAAAAATATTTCAAGGGTGTAGATTCATCCAGTAAAGAAACATGTGAACACTATGGGCCCTATCATACACCCGGTGCAATAAGGCGCAAGATGTGTATGGCACAATTTATTGCCATTTTTAGACAAGCGTGACTGTAATTGTCATGTTATGTACCACGTTGTTGCAGTAGCAAATCCATTTGTGCCACTTTGTGGACTCATAAGTGTTTCGGTCTAGAGAGGAAGTGTGTTAATGTGCTTTGTTGGCGCGTTGCTATTTTAAAGAACTGAACTAGACCCCGCCATTGACCAACCAAGAGCAGGTCTAATATAAAATGCATTTTGTTAAGATGAACATTTCTCTTGGATGTGATTAATCATTTGTAAGCACTAATAATATGCATTATTTAAATTACATAATGTAAATAACATGTCGTAATTTATGTAAATATATATATTTGAAGAGTTCATATGCAAAAGCCGCTAAACGCCACTTTCGCCAAAAATGAGATAATGACATTGAGTGAATGCTTTAGGCACGTCTTACACCATCAACAAATAGATTAGCTTCTAATCATCCAAATCCCAGCATCAGGGCATTCAGAAATAACAGTTTGTTGGCAAAAGCTGCTAAATGGCACTTGCCTTTGACAGCAAAAGCCGCTATATCCTGAGAACCAATCAGAAGGCGCGAATCGAATCATATGTTTTCAATTTAGCAGCGCGCTCATACGCCGGCTTTTATGAGGAGATTGTTTTATTCTGCTTCGATTTTAAAATCTGGAGTTTTATGAACTGGATGACCCTGTCCGACTGTCAATGAATGACAAATGAAAACTTCTCTTACCTTAAAACTCTGTGCATTATAAGAAAAAGAAAACACAATGTACAGTTGGAAGTTTAGCATGCATTTATAACGTTTTTTTGCGCAGCGACGCTACTTTGAATAAGTCCGATTTACTATACATTAAACGGCAACTGCGTTTCACGAATAACAGAGTTAAGATGCCGTTCTTTTATCCCACATGAATGCTATGAGGATAAACAAGAGACCAAGACCTTAAGTATGGTGAGAATGAATTATTGTAAGCTTATAAAATTGTCTAAGAGACAGCCCCTTGTTGCCCAGTAGGCCTACCTTGTGTTTTATTTGCTAATTTAAGCTATTTTTAAAAAGATGAATATAATGTACAAAACTATACATTATTACTTCATATTACCTCTACATCTGATAAGCTTTTTATATTAATGGACAATGCACAGATAGTGATGTTTCACAATGTTTTTACACTACATTATTTGAATCTACCAAGCTTAGTTTACAGTGTTTGCAATATTTACATTGCTCTACTTGCATTAAACTTAATCCCAAATATCAGAATGACAACAGATTGTTAAGATTTAATTAATGTCAGTTTTCATGTTATTGATTAATGCACTTACTTGACAGATTTCATTCATTTTCCTTCTGCTTTTTTCCTGGTTCATCACAGTGGAATGACCCGCCACTTACTTGACAGATTTATATATGTTTTTGTTTTAGGTGGTTTGTGTAATGTGTTTTATGTTTGGTAAAATAATTTCTAATAGCATCTTTAGTGATTTTCAACTACATGTAATTACACTGTCTCATCCCAATAGGTGAATTTAGACGTTTTTGCTAAAAAAAACAAAGTGGATTTAGCTGGTTTTGACAATTTTTTTTTACCTGGTTAAAAACCAAAGAATTGTCAAAAGAGACTTTTTTTACATTTTATTTTATTCAATAACTAATAACCTTTTCATTACATATAAATACATTAATCTACATTGTTTAATTTAAATGATGCATATTATGCATAAAGCTGCATAAAAAAAAATTATCAGTATGGTGTAAAGTACTGTATATGTGTTATATAGCATATATATTATATGCTGTATATTGTAATTTAAGACAAACTGACTTCAGCATGTGATCTGATTCTAAATGGCTGACAGTTTACATTTTTACTAAAACCTTATATACAAATCTAAATAAAAACTGTTTTGAAAGTGATTCAGATTACATAGTATTTCTGTTTTATAGATGTAGTTGTGTTGGGCATTTGCAAGTTTTCATAATCATAGAAAAAGAACACATACTAATGGTCTGAATTAGTCTAAAATCTGTTGATTTTTCACTTTTATTATTGATTCTGTATAATGTTCACGCGTTTTCTCCAGAATGTGAACTGCCGACAGTATTACGGTGAAAGCTCAGAAGCTCATGTGAAAGCATATGAGGGGCTGGCAGTGGGTCTTGGACCAGGTGAAGATGGCACAAGCATTGGATCCATCTTAACACAGCCCATCCTGACCACTGGCACTGAAACACTACTGACTGTGGAGCCAAAGGTAGACAAACTCACACTGGCATATCATAGCTTTCGGTCATATTCATTACCAAGGATGAACTCTAAGAATTATTTGCCTTTTAGGAAGACGTTGAGAGAAATGGCATCCCATTGGGTGCTGAGGAAGAGGTGCAGTCTTCCCAAAGTTCATCTGATGGGACACAGACTCTTGTTCTTATGGATCCTGATGGACAAGGAAACAGTGTGATCTATGATACGACCACTGGTATTCTCACTGAACAGGTTATTATTAATCACTGATTAAAATGTTTTTATTAATGGTATTTCAGAATTCGATTACAGGAAAAAAATGTCTTATTTGTCCTTTTATGTTATTTTGAATGCAATTTTTATATTATTTTTAATTACAAGATTCAAGTAGCAGACTCCGAAATTCAGAGTTCCACATGAGGTTATTAATTAGCAAATAACATAAATATTACGAGCGTAAACAATAGTTGAGCAGGTTTCATTGTAGCCCTGTGTCCTAACATAAATATTTAAATGTATAAATAATTTGTATCATATACATATATATTTTATATCTGAATATAAATAAACAGGCAACGCAGTGGCCCAGTAGGTAGTGTTGTCGCCTCACTGCAAGAAAGTCACTGGTTTGAGCCTCGGCTGGGTCAGTTGGTGTTTCTGTGTGGAGTTTGCATGTTCTCCCCGCGTTCACTTGGGTTTCCTCCGGGTGCTCCGGTTTCCCCCACAGTCCAAAGACCTGCTGTACAGGTGAATTGGGAAGGCTCTAAATTAGTGAGTGTATGAGTGTGAATGAGTATGTATGGGTGTTTCCCAGAGATGGGTTGCGGCTGGAAGGGCATCCGCTGCTTAAAACATGTGCTGGATAAGTTGGCGGTTCATTCCGGTGTGGCGACCCTGGATTATTAAAGGGACTATGCCGAAAACAAAATGAATGAATATAAATAAACATTTGCTCAAATATATGCATGCATATGTGCATTTGTCTATGCATGTAAAATGTACACAACATACAAACACACACATATATATTATGTCAAAAGAAACTTTTTATTTTGGATGTGCTTAATCATCTTTGCCCAGCAAAAAAAATTATAGTTTGCGAACTTTTCTTCAGCAGCTAATCAAAGTAAAGGTATCATAGTCTATTATCATTTGTTTACCACAAAAAGTCAGACACCACTGCTTTAAACATTAATAACATCAATAATAAAAATAATAAATGTTTTCTTCAGCACCAAATCAGCATTCTAAAGGGATTTCTGAAGGATTATGGGATGAAGGCTGAAAAGTGAAAATTACCCTTTGCCTTCATAAAATATTTTACTATCTAAAATACACTAAATTATGAAATAATATGTAGTAGCAGTCTTAAACTTAATCTAAATGTATTGTTTCTGTAATTTTAGGAGGCAGAAAGTTTGGAGCAGACTCTGCTGCAGAAACGCCTCCTGGAGCTTCACCAGCAGATCGACACTCTTCATCAGGAGAAGGAGAGCATGGAGAAGACGCTACGAGCTGAGATTAAACAGCTCAAAGAACAGGTATACTTGGAGCTAGTTTATTGTATTTATTTAATTTAAAAGAATATTGGTTATACATATTTCCTTGTACACTTGTCTTGTTGTATTTAAATAATTATTTTCATCTATTTAATTTCATTGTTAGGTCGCAAGCCTGGTGCAATCTAATGTGAGGATGTTTGAGGAACTGCAAGCATATCAATGCCCTGATCACAGCCAGCAAAAGGTGGCCAAACTTGTAAGTGCTCTGAATGAGAATCAGATTGTATTGATAAATTATTATAATTATACATCAAGCTGATAGTAAATGAGCAACACAGTGGCTCTGTGGTTAGTACTGTCGCCTCACGCCTGTTTCACACCGCAAGCGTCAGCGGCGCGTGAGCAGAGCGTGAGCAGCGCGTATGTCGAGCAGTAGCAGCACGCAGGCGTTTGCCTTTCACACCAGCTGCGTCTGCAGCGCGCAGCTCTTCGGCAGCTGCTGCTGAGATCAACCTATCTCTGTCTATTCTATCTAGTTACCCCTCTATATACAAATACACTTTTTAAACTTTTCATCTGTACCAAGGCCCCTCCTATGCTGTTTCATTAACCTGCAAATGTTTATTTTACTAATTTTATAGATCAAATAGTACTGTATGCTTCTCAAGCTAACTTATATGAGAATTGTCTACAGTCAGAAAACAATCGCCTGTGATATCATGTCATTTGTTTTTTGATTATCAGGTTGCTGTAGACCTAGTTATAATCATATTTATACAATATAGTTATAATGATATTTATACATGATCAAACTAGTGTTAATTTCTCCGCTTCAGTGATGTCCAGCGGCAGAATAACAGCTCGTTAATTCATGCTCGTGCAGATGATGAGACGGACAAAAGTAATTAATGCATGCCATTCTTTTACTTATTTTCGTGTTGTCAGATTCACAGTGCAAACAGCTCCCGGTAGGAATAATTCGAGTGAACATAAAACAAAGCCGATTAAAACTTTCTTGCTCTGCTAGCTGCACAGAACACAGCGAGCTCACATCAATTAATCCAGCATGCGTGTCGCACTACACTACCCACAATACACTTCGCTATGGACTACAAATCCCGTAAATATTCCATTTCCCCTCTCCTACAACACTAGTGTGCAACTTAAGCAAAACTGATAGTAAAATAGTTTTACATTTGGTTTTGTAGTTCGGGCCTAAATAAATGTTTGTTGCCGTTTTTAATCGTTTTAAGTTCATTTGAAAGACTATATATAAACCATTTGACATTATTAACGCATTTATTGGGTAAAATTGTTAGTTTTTACTGTCATTCAATGTGTTTTGGTCATTCTCAATGCACTGTCACTTTAATTGAGCGTGAGCAGCGCGTCAAAAATAGACCCAGCGCCGAAACTATCGCTGCACTGCTGCTTCGGCGACGCTCACGCCTCGCTCTGACGCGCTGCTGCTGCGTGCGGTATGAAAGCTCTAATCTGTTAACATGGACGCCGAAAACACACGCGCTGCTCACGCTCTGCTCACGCGCCGCTGACGCTTGCGGTGTGAAACAGGCGTCACAGCAAGAAGGTTGCTGGTTTAAGTTCTGGCTGGGCCAGTTTGCATTTCTGTGTGGAGTTTGCATGTTCTCTCCGTGTTCGCGGTCGGTGTTGCAGTTTTCCAAACAGTTCAAAGACATGCGCTATAAGTGAATTGAATAATCTAAATTGGCCATGGTGTATGTGTGTGAATGAGTGTGTATGGATGTTTCCCAGTACTGGGTTGCAGCTGGAAGGGCATCCGCTGTGTAAAACATATGCTGGCTAAGTTAGCAGTTCATTCCACTGTGGCGACCCCTGATGAATAAAAGGACTAAGCTGAAGGAAAATTAATAAATGATAGTAAGTGCAATATCCATATCGCAGAAATAAGTATGATACATTATATTTTAGGTGCCAAACAACTATGCGTGTTGTATGCATTGGTTGTTTATATAAATTAGATGTCTCAGTAGGTACTGTTATCTAATGGATAACTGTCCAAAAGGTGAATCTAAAGTGCCTCATAGCAAAGAGCTAAAAATAAATAATAATGGCAGATGTTGAGATGAAAAATAGACATAAGTTGATGATGTGACAATACATAAATAAATAAACAAACAAACAGTAGAGACCAGAGGAACATGACAACAACAAATAAAAATCTGCTGAGGCTTTTAGTCATTCATAGTGCTTCATGTAAATCATAGTAAATGTAAATGTTTGCACATTGAGCTTTTTTTTTGCCAAAAATTGATTTAATTAATCACAATTTAATTGAATTAATTTAATTGATTTACATATCAGAAACATATCTATTTTGCCTGTTTATTTCATTATGATCATAACATAAAAAATGTAAAAAAAAAAATAGATAATAATAAGAAGAAAAATAGTATGTGTAAAACTCAACGTCACACATTTAATATTTTCCCAGTTTCGTGCCAAGTATTCAAAGTATACAAAGACAGTGCATTTATAAACTTTAGAATGAGAGTCAGTGCAACACGCTCTATGACTGAATAGTCACGCCTTCCAAATAAAGCCAATCAGTATTTGATAAAACCATCATGTCATTGGTACTATCGTTAAAAGCTTGTTTGCTTGGCAGATCTAGCATGAAAAATATTCTTTTGTTACTCTTTAGTTATTTTGTAAGCTTAGAGAATTGGATGTTGCACTATTCAAGAGGTAGGAGCTGTACATGCATGACGTTTTTTAAGACTTGTATTAAAAAGGATGTATTGGGCAAAAATAAGGGGTTTAAGTGGTTTAAACACATTTGCATGGCAACTGACTGCATATATAACCAGCTTCTAAAGGCAAAAATGTATCAATTAAACATTTCATAAAAGCACTTCATAAAAACAGTCTGCTAAAACACTTTCATTGACATGCTCCCTTTCTACATGTCATCAGAGGGGAAAAGCCACACCCATTGGTACGATCTCTTACTCATTAGTACAGGACATTAGTTTTGTTTTTCAATCTGCCATTTGTAGCTCTGTCCTGTTTGAAAAGAGCACAATCTGATTTAAATGTAAAGTCACAGTCACAAAAATTGCACAATAAGAGTCAAACCCTAAAAGGGAGTTTCAAAGAGTGATAAAACATTATTTGTGGGGTATATTGAGCTTCATAAACACACTCACTGACTTATTTTACATCTTGTAAATAGGTCCCCTGTTAATGCACTTTGTTTAAACTTGCATACTTTCTTCTGTCTTTGGTACTGTTAGATGGAAAGCCTTGAAGCTCAGCACAAGGAGCTCCTGCAGGCTCAGTTGGCTTCACTCAGAAGGGAGATCCTGTGCGGGACTGATAACGGCATGGCAATCAATGGCCACAAGGAGGCACTGGAACTCAACGAGGATTCAGAAGAGCCACAAACTGCAGCCATCAGTGGACCTTTAACAGGACTGGAGGACATGGATGTACAGCTACACACAGAGCAGCATGAGACACTAAAATCCACAGAGCTGGAGCTAGTTCCATCCGATACAGTGGCCTGTTTGGAGAGCCCCAGCTTGGACTTAGAATTGACAAACACTGGTTTAACTACATCAAAGGTTTTAGAGGATAAACAGGAAGTGTCTTTGTCCATCGAGGTATCAAAGAAGCGCAATTCTACTGACGACTTAGAGGAGATAGTTGAAAACAAAGTACAAAAAATAAGCTGAGAGTCTCACTCATCTCCATTCCTTTTTAAAAGCTTTTACAAATTGCTGTTACGTAGGCCACACATTTCCAGATCAATAATCTGTGTGTATTCTGTCATTTGGCAAAATATACATGATTCCATGATTTAATTTTTTTACCATAACTCTTTTTTACATTTTTATTCATGTTTGTCAGTGCTATCTAATGCAATGTACTTGTGCTTTTAAAGACTGCATTGGGTTTCATTTATCATTGAGCGTAAACAGACTTGCTACTGATCATGTTTTCATAATAGAAACATTGTGCGGCGAAGAGTTATTAGCTGTGGAATAATTTAATGTAAGGATGCCAAATCTTGAAGTTCTACAGCCATAGTGATATTTAATAATAACCAGTGTTTATTTATTTTGAATTAAATCCCAAGAATAATTATTGACTTTAAGTTAAATTGTCCATTTGTTTTTTACAGATGATATCTGTTGCTTTTCTAAGTGTAATCTGAAATTTTCTTCAAAAATGAGCTTTTTTTTTAAAGTCTACTGTGTGTAGGTTCAGTAATTTCACTTAAACACAGTAAAAAGCATATTCATTACCTTGAAAAGTGAAATTACTAAACTTACACGCAAGGTCTGCAAAAAATGCTCATTTCACAAAAAAAAAAAAACAACTCAGATAACTGAGCTTGAAGGACTGCATCCAAACATCTCTGCCATAACTCAAATAACTTATTAACAAAGTCATCTGGAATGGCAAAGAAAGCCGTCTGGCAGTATTCCCAGAGTTCATCAAGATTCTTTGCGTTTATCTTCTTTGCTTCCTTCATCTTACCACAGACATGCTCAATAATGTTCATGTCTGGTGACTGGGCTGGCCAATCCTGGAGCACCTTCTTTGCTTTTAGGAACTTTGATATGGAGGCTGAAGTATGAGAAAGAGCGCTATCCTGCTGAAGAACTTGCCCTCTCCTGTGGTTTGTAATGTAATGGGCAGCACAAATGTCTTAATACCTCAGGCTGTTAATGTTGCCATCCACTCTGCAGATCTCTCGCATGCCTCCATACCGAATGTATCCCCAAATTATAATTTTTTCCTTGACCAAACTTGACTGAATTGTGTGAGAATCTTGGCCCATGCAAGTTTCAATAGGTCGTCAGCGGTATTTGTGATGACTGGGATGCAGCTCAACAGATGATTCATTAGAGAAATTGACCTTCTGCCACTTTTCCAAATGATCAACTACAAGTCAAGTTATTATTTGTATATACATGCATATGAGTAGTATATAATAGTACTACTTGTATACTCATACATGATATATGTGTTAATGAGTAGAATCAATATAACTTATTTCGAAATAACATGTTTAAAACTACTACATATATATATTTTTATTTATTATTATTATTATTCAAGTGTATATAAAACTTATATAAAGTATATATTTTACAAGTTTTTAATTCTGGAACCGACTAGTGTGCTGATTTTCCAAAAAAGAATCGCAAAACGGGTTAAATGTTTGTTTTCTTTGCCACCAAGCACCACCTTGAAAAAGATAACCGCTCATGATTTCTCCAGACCTCGTGGTGGCAGCACATCAAATGTTCAGGTTGTATCTACCGAGACAACAAACGTAGAGGAAGGAAGCGGGGAATTCACCATTGCACTGTTGTGAGTATTTTATTAAACAAAATCCTTTAATTTAAAAGCTTAAATTACACTTCAGTTTAAAATACAAACATGTATGGAACAAGAAAATGCGGTGATGAAATATATTATGCAATGTATATATATATATATATATATATAACGTTAGCACAGTCACTTGTATGTGTATCTACCCTGGTTGTTATTGTTCAGCATTTAGACATCCAGCCTATCAGTATTTGCTTTAAATAACGTTACATTTCAGGAAAGACATTTCACGACAATAAATTAGTTTTGATATGTGTAAGTTAACTTGCAGCATTGGTAATGTGACAGATAAATGCAATACGTTTTGTGATTGCTCTCTTGTGTGTTTGGCTTTATATACGCACATTCGGACTTTCTATAATTTCAGAAAAATAATATTTGCAGATTCTACATAGACAAGTCATTTTAGCAGCCAATTACTACCAAAGTAACGTTACACTGTTCACAGTCAATTAAATAGTGCTCATGTTATTTTGAAGTCTTACCTAAATGCCAAAGTAGCGTGGTAAACAATGTAGGGACCGTTATCTTTTACAGTTTATGGTTACAATGAACGAATGTGCGAATATGAATTTAAATTTACCTCAATTGTTTGTTGTCAGTGTTTGAGTTGAGGCGTATGTCCCAGTCAGCTCAGCCCGCCGCCATGCCCTCCGCCCCAGACTCTCCCTCTCTGAGCGTGAACGTCAGTGGGAATGTGCAGAAATACAGCATCAAGAAGAAAAAGGTGTTAAACGCAGAGGAGACTGAGCTTTTCGAGCTCACCCAGGCTGCAGGGGTGGTCATTGATCAAGAGGTTTTCAAGTGAGTCACTCAAAATGTACATGTAAACCTGAAAAAAAGAGCAAAAAGAAATCCTTACTGTAATTAAAAAATAAGGGTCGACTGTGTTTTTATGTTTGTGGACTTTTTAGTGTAATGTAACCTTTCTAAAATGAAATGGCTACAAATTAGGGAAATAATATTCAGTCATTCAGTGCAACAAATGAACCAACGTACTGATTCTGACCCATGCTTTTAAAATTCATAAAGTAATAGTATTGTCATTGTATTGTTTTTCAATTGATAAAATATATGGCTGGAAAACAGAAAAACAATAATAAATTAATAGGATTTCAAAAGTACTCCTTAAATAAAAAAATAAAAGTAAATACTATGAAACATTTAAATGGTACTTTTGGATAACACTATATCAGCCAAACAGTTTTAAACTCATATATATTAATATATATTTTTTTCATTAGCAGCAAATCATCATATTATTATGATTTCTGAAGGAATCATGTAACATCGACTGGAGTAATGATGCTGAAAATTCAACATTAACAGTTTAAATTACAATAATAAAAAGTTTTCACTGTATTTTTGATCAGATAAATGCAGTTTGGTGGGCAGAATAGGCTTTAAAAATAAACAAACAAACTAAAATGTAATGGATTTATTGAACAATGTTGTCTCTTTAACTAGAGTTGCACAAAATTTAAATATTTAAAACCATAAAGCATGCACTGCTTATTTCACTTTTATCTTTGCTTTATTGCATTCATCAATGCTTGTAGTTCATTACATGTTATTCTCAATTCACTCCCCTGCAGAATTATCCCAATCAATCAAAATCAACTCATTTGATCACACTTTAGGCACCAAATCACATTAATAACTAGTTGCTTATTAGTATGCATGTTCTTGAGGTACTGGCTATTAAGATATTAGTACTCATAAACTGCATATACTGCATGATCTTATTCTACATCTCTAACCCAATCCCTAAACTACCTTGAAATCCATTTATAATGAGAAATTAGGAGTTTTGAAGCAAATGTCATGTTTAATAGTTTGCTAGCAGCAAGAATTGAACCTTTAAATAAAGTGTGACAAGGAATTCTTTCCAAATTGTACTATTCAATCATTTGGGGAAATTTTATAGAAGAGCGTAAACAGACAATATGTCACAGAAAACTCAAATATCACAATTTTCCAATATCATGCAGCCCTACTGTTAACCCATACATGTTGCAGATTTCATTAAAAAAAAAAAAACATCTTCAAGACTCATTTCATGTGTCTCATGATTTTTAACACTGTCCTGCTCTACTACAGGATCATAGTGGACCTGCTGAAGATGAACGTTGCGCCTCTAGCAGTCTTTCAGACTCTAAAGACCATGTGTGCTGGACAGAAGGTCTCTGAAACATCCACCGGTGACGCATCTTCAACATCTCACACCACTGCTGTCCCTACGGAGTCAAGAGGTGAGTGAACAACATGCTAAAACTATGGAGGAAACAGACCAAATCATAATGTGCCACAGTTTTACATAACTTGAGCTGAAAAGTAGATGAAGTCCAACTCAAAATAACATCTGTCTTATCCTGCAGGTGATTAGATCTCTAACTTTGAACTGGAATCAATTTCTACATAGGGATGTGGGATATTTATTGACTACAAGCTGACGTTGTCCAATATTTCACTCACTTTTGCAAAAAACAAATAAAGGTGTATCTTCATAGAGCATCTCTGTGTGATGAAGCCTTTTAGATTACATTTAGAATAAAGTAAGTAGTAATATCACACAATCAAGACTGGCAATTTTCTGTGTGTGATTTGCAAACATGATATTGATTTTATAAGACGGTTCATTAAACTAGAAGATAATATTGAGCGAGTTAAATTTTAGACATCATTCTAGTTTTGTCAAAATACCGTAATGCCTCTTACCTCTTACAATGCATTTAAAATCATAGATATTGAATTACTTTTTGTTGTGATACGGTCTCACCCCAGTCAAACAATTTGGTGATAATAATACAATTTTCACTGATGCACACATCTCTTCTTTTTCTCAACTCTCTCTTCTTTTTCTCAACCCTCATTTAAGTTACAAACAAGTTGTGAATCAAAAGACATGTGAAAGAGAACCAATTAAAGTGACAGGGCAAAATATTCCTGCTGCCGCCTGTTTTCATCATTATTAATCAAACAATAAAAGGACAAAATCACTCACTGCTCTTGACTGAAGGACTTTTGTAGCTAAAGTGTTTTTCTGACAGTGAAGATGCTTAAAGCACAGTTTGTTTCATATTTTTATTCTATTGCATTTATTTCCCTTTGCAGAGAGGAAAATAACTGTATATATGCAGTTAAAGTCAGAATTATTAGCCCTCCTGATTTATTAGCGACCCATTTCCCCCAATTTCTGTTTAATGGAAAACATTTTTTTAACCTATTTTTGAACATAATAGTTTTAATAACTCATTTCTAATAACTGATTTCTTTTATCTTTGCTATGATGACAGTACATTATTTTACTAGATATTTTTCAAAATGCAAGCATTCAGATTAAAGTGCAATTCAAAGGCTTAATTAGGGTAATTAGGCAAGCCATTGTATAACAGTTTTATTCTTTAGACAATCAAAAATATTTATTGCTTCAGGCGGCTAATAATATTGACCTTAAAATAGGTTTCAAAATATTTAAACCTGCTTTTATTCTATTCAAAATATAACAATATAACAAATAAGTTAAACGTCATTTCAACAAAAATTCACTGGAGGGCGAATCATTTTGACTTCAACTGATAATCGTTTTGAATAATCGTGATTACAATTATGACCAAAATAATCGTGATTGATTTTTCCCAAAAATTAACAGCCCTAACAGAGATAATATGATTTTTATTCTTGGACAGTAGAGCCTTATTTAGCATCTTGTAACAAAGGGCATATTAGGTTCCTTTTAAGACAGATATT